AGAGTAGAGATCCGTCAAAAAAAAACCGTGCCAATGGAAAGGCCAAGTACAAGGAAATGGCGGAGCCACAGAACTTGGCCAGATCCCGAGCAACAATGAAACCCCGTCGACTAATCTCCTGGGCCCGCCGCGAAATGGCCGCAACCTTGTCCGGAGGGACCTGAAATTGGCACTGATTGGTGTCGATCATGATCCCCAGATGCTTCTTGCATTGGACCGGCTCCCACTGACACTTGGACTCCTTAAAAGCGAGGCCAAGAGTGGCGAAAACCCGGCGGACCAAACTGGACCATTGGGTGAGCCGCTGAGGATCCGACATGGCAGCAATGAAATCATCTAAATAGGCCAAAATCAGCGCGGGAAGCTCCCGCGAGTACTGGAGATAGTACTGGAGAATGGAATCCTCCCCCGCTAATCGACCAAAACGAAAACGAGTGGCAGCTTTGGGACAAGAGCTGGGGGTCCTTAAGAAACGGACCACTACCAACATGAGCTGCGTGAAATAAAAGGGGGAGAGGGCCAAGCCAAAGGGGAGCGCCCGGCAAGCAAATGTCTCCCCACCCATGCGAAATTGAAGAAAATGCTCTTGATCCGCTCTCATCCGAATATGATGATAAGCGTTTTTGATGTCGAATCCCACCAAGTAATCATGCTTCTTCAACAGAAATCCAAAATCGCGCAGTTTTTCATAACGAAGACCAACCTTCTTGAGATGGCGATTGATTCACCGAAGATCGATGATGAGCCGGTATTTGGTCTTGCCATTCTCTGCCGGCTTGGCCACCAAGAAAGCGCGCGAAATCCGGGCGTCGGAAGAGGGGTTGGTCCGGACGATCGCCCCCGTCTCAAGGTATTCGTCCCGTAGTTCCCGCCATGCTCGCCATTCCTCCGGGGTCGTCAAGGGGTATTCGCCCTGATCGAAGGGGGCCAGAGGGCCCATCGGGCCCCATTGAAGGGGGGCTCCGGTGTGGATCCATTGCAAGACTCGCGAAGGCGCCCCGATGCGGCGCCACCCGGAGAGACGGCCCCGAAGACGAGCGTACGGCGGGTCCTCTAGGCGGCGGGTTTGGGGGGCTGAGCCGGAGCGTTGGGGCCCGCCTGCGGCTTGGAACTCTTGCCCTTGAAGTGGCGAGCGTTGGAGGTGGACGCGCCCGCAGGATTGGGAGCCGGAGCGGCACGATCGAGGTTGGCCTGGTTCTTGGCGGCAGCCGACTTGGTCGCCAACTTCAACTGCTGATTGAGGACCTCCTTGCGGATGTGCTCCAGCAGCTCGTCGATCAAAGGATCCCAGAAGCGGCGATGAACGGCGCCCAGCCGAACGTTGGTCTGGAGCGCGCGCCACAACCCGTCGAGGGACGTCCCCTTGTGCTCCCCGTGCACTTGCTGGAGACGGATTAGGCTCTGCAATCTTGTCGTAATCGTCACCTGGGCGTGGAGGTACGGCAAGAGGGCGTCCCGAAAGATGGGCGGGAAATCCTGGTGCGCCGCGAAGTCGATCAAGGCGGCCGTGAGGTCGAAGAGCCACGCGACGTAGGGCGCCCAGTTCTGGTACTCCTGGAAGTAGCCGGAGTTGGTCCCCAGCGCCTGCGCGAGCTGTGCGCCTTCGGAAGTCCGCCTCACGTCGAACCACTCAGGAAAACGGACCCCCGGAGGTCGGACCACCGGGTTGGTGACTGACCGCGGAAGGAGACGGGGGTCCGGTAGCCAGACGGTGTCGAGAGAAGCCGTAGGCGGACCGTCGTTGAACCGGACGGCTTGTTCTTGAAGCCACTGCTCCGCAGGTGTCCGGTTCATAGAAAGAACTCGGCCAAGACGGCCGGGGAGGGCAAGGCACTCGGTGCCTTCGGGTTGTGCCAACAAGTGGCGCGAAGCGAAACAAGATAGGAGGGGGACCGAGGGGGGAGCCTAAATAGCCGCCCCCGCTCAGCCCCGCCAAAGCCCGCCAAGTCCAAGCCGCCAAAACGGGCGGACCCTTGGACACTCCGTACTTTGACTGACCCAAGGTACTAGGAAGGGCCAGAAACCCGTTTGAATACGATTGCGCCTGATTCGAAACTCGGCGCAACCCACCCAACGTCGTCCTGGGTGGAAATCTATTAACAAGATAGTTAATGTCATGTCCTCTGCATCATAACAAAATCTCGCACAAGAAGGCAAAGCAGCAGCCTTTAGCATCGCACGTCGCCCGAGCAAGAATGAATCTGCTTCAACCACGGTCAACCGAATTCATCACTTCTTTTTTAAATTGTCACCTTATTATCGTTTCACAATTTATTCTAATCATTTAATACACATTTAAATCAATGAGACGTGCCCAGATTACAACCCGAGTCCCCTCCCATACCCACCAACTTCCCCCAACCTCAACTTCCCAACATCAACCCCCCATTTTTTCCGTCTACTTCAGGCCCGGTCAATTGTGTCCATGATATCATTATCTAAATTCCGTCATTTTCTCATTAGTTTAAGGAAGCTTACCCAGATCATAAGCGAGGCCCCTCCACGGCCCTCCGCCTCCCCCAACCTCCAGCCCCAACCCCAGACGCAGCCCACCATGGCCGGCGCCCTACGGCGCCTCACCGCCGCCGCCGCCCGCTCCCTCCGATCCCCTTCCGCCCTCGATGCCACCCCTCCAGCTCCCCTGGGCGGTATCCCCGCCCTTCCAGGCCAGCAGCTGAGCAGGCGCCTGGGCGACATGCCGCGCAAGGAGGACCCCTTCATCGAGGCGTGGGGCGCGCGGCGGGAGACCGTGGAGTACGACTTCGTGTGGGACTGGCCCACGGTGAGGAGCCTGGCGCTGTGGGTGGTGGCCGTGCCGGTGGTGGTCTACAAGGGCATCGTGTCGGAGTTCAACCACACGGACGACCTGTACGGCCGCAAGCGCCGGGATTTCCTCTGAGGACGCCCGGAAAAATCAGCCGATCGGGGGCGATGATCGAGAGCGAGGCCTGGGGGGAGAATTGGAGGTTTTGGAGATGTCTGCGGTGGCGCGAGGACACCTCCCTTTGCGGCTGACCAGGCGCTGACACCTTCATTTTCTAGTTTTTCTTTTATCTTCTGTGCGATTGCAATTCTGTCCAGGATGGATGCGGGCGGCCCGCTGTGGGCGCGGCTGTGGTGGTTTCGAATCGAGGACCGTGGAAGGCGTTGGACAGGGATCGCAATCTTGTGGCCTGGAGGTGGGTGCGTTTTTCACCATCCTCTGGATCGGTGGCGCCTCACGTGCGCCCTTTTGATGCGAGTGCGCGAGTCGGAGGGTCGGTGGGGCACCCGGCGGGGCCCGTGCGGGGACTTGGACACTTGCGGTGGATCTGGGGGCTGTTGGCGGAGAGCGCAGTGCCCAACAGAGGGCCTGGGAGAACTGCTTGTGGGAAAGGGCTGGATGAGAGGCCGCGATCTTCTGCTTGACAACTTGCCTTGGAAAGAAAAGCAGTGCTCTTGAACCTTGTAGGGAGGCGTGCGGCGGAGACAAGGGGCACTTGCGATGGAGCTATATAGGTGTGACAGTGCATTCGCCCTTGCAAAAGTGAAACCACATCAAGTTCAGCGTGGTTTATTGCGGGGGAAGAAGCCCAGGCTGCCGTTTGGGAGCATGATCCCGGTTGTTTGGATTTCCGTGTGTCCTGCCGCTTTCCTTTTGAGATTGCCTCTGCCGTGAACAACCTTCCTGGCGAATGAACGGAGTGTGCAGGCAGTGGGAATATGACAGACATAATGGTCATGCCACCCGCCTCTTCAGCAGCCAGATGCTCAGACATTGTCAGTTTGTTGGTGATCTGCAAGGACCTGATAATTCTTGCCAGCCTTTAGGGTTACACCTGCAACTGATGAAGTCCTTGAGCATGGCAAGACAATTCCAATTCGCATGTTAGCTCCCCTTTCCAGTTGTCACAATCTTGTGTTGCTCTGTTGCATGGGACCCCGCCTTGAATGCAGTGAATCACTCACGTGCCTGGCGTGTCCATCACTGCAAATAGATATAGAAGGGCAAGGGCTGCATTTCACCACTTTCAACAGCGCCCTACTGGTGCAAACGCAGGGACTGGACGCAAAACTGACTGATGCAGCCCAAGTCAAGCAACTCGATACAGCACGGAAGGTGGTGCAGCATCCTGCAAACGGGGAGGGGATAGAATAGCCCACAGCACTCTCCATTAACAACACAATGAAAAACATTTCCAGTGCAAAACGAGGGACGCTCAAGGCCCCATTCCACCCATATTGGATATATTTACAGCATGGTTCATTCGCTCACATCAGGGCTATCGAATCGACCGTTCAGCGACCGACTCAAGAGGGCAAGCCAAAGCCAAGTGGCAGCTGTGCACCGCACACCCGACTTGACGAACGCGAGCTAAGCAGCAAGCCAGGCCACAACTGACGGTGCACAAGCCACCATTGTTCTGAAAAGCGTTTCTGTGTATTGTTTTGGACAGACGCAACAGAGTACGAATAAAGAACCTCCCCTTGTTGAATCTCTTCCCCCCATGTTGAAGCAACGGGTGGTGGCTACCGATGCACATTGGGCTGACATTCAGTCATGTGCCAATGAGCCATTGCCCCAACATGCAGGCACCAGCCAATTTCAAACAACACGCTGGCAGCATATATGTGCACACTTTGCATTAGCACAAGTGTGCGTGCGCTGCCACGTCAAACAGTTCCACTAAGAAGATGCACGCCAATTCGATTAAGAGTTGACCCACTGTACACGCCAAGGGGCGTTTCCCTTGTAGCACCTCCATCGCCCCACATGAGCCCTTCCCTGGCGGGCCGAAGGCTTCAACCTGATGTATTGCCAGGATTGGCATGTCGAACCCCAGAAAATGTCGCCCGAGGAAGGACGCCAGAATCCCCAGGATTCAAATTTCGAACTCGAAAACAGCCCCCCCCCCACCCCACCCCACCCCACCCCACCCCACCCCACCCCACCCCACCCCACCCAGAGTGGAGCAGGACAAAACTGCGTAGCACCGATTACCACAAAGCACCAAGTACTGCTACCAAGTACTGAGCCTGGTGTCCACCTTGCCCACAAAGGCGTCGCCCGCAGTCGCCCTCAGCTCGGACAGCCTGTGGATGTGGGCGGCGGGCAAGCCGCCCCGCTCGCACCGGCACACGCCCAGCACCTTCAGCCGCCCCACCTTCGCCGCGCCTTCCAGTCCCGCTGACGTAATCCTGAAGCACCCCACCAGGTCCAATCGCCTCAAAGACGTCATCCGCCTCACGGCTGCGAGCCCCTGGTCCGTGACCTCCCGGCAGTGACCCAGCTTCAATTCCCTCAGATCCTTGAGGCCCGTAAGGTGAGCAAGGCCCACATCCGTGACGCGCCCGCATCCATGCAGATCCAGCGTCGTCAGGGAGGCGATCCGCGCCACATGGGACAGCCCTGCGTCGCTCACCTGCAAACAGCCGCCAGACACTGGCTACCTTGTTCGCCTCCAAGCAAAATTGAGCTTCATTTCTCATTCTCAAATCTAGTAGTTAGGAAAAGGAATGGAAAAGAAACTCCGTGTGCTGGTGGCGGCACCCACGACCGGCAGCAGATGGTGCCTGACTGGATCATCAAATCACATACGATGCGTGTGCGTACGAAAGATATGACCAACGTGTCAAGATTACGTAATCTGTCCTTGCTTGTGTCGCTTTAATTAACTGAACCATTGTGTTGCTGCTTGTGTTGGTAAAGTACTAGAAAGAATGTGCTGGCGCTTCTGTTGCCAAATTACTGGATTGCAGGACGGTCGCCTTAATTGGCGCTCAAAACTGCGCAAGGTGGGTCGCACACTCCAAAACTACGAAGAAAATTCTGATAACGCTTGATGCACAACGTGCATAGTAACCAGAAAAAGAATGTGCAATGGTAACAACAATGCAGTTATTTGCATATTGTTGCACAATTTCGGGCAAAACTGGTGCAGCCCTAGTACTCAAAGTAGTACCTAAAGTACCTTGTTTTCTACGCACTTACCGGAGGGAGCGCTGCGTGAATGAATGCGAACAAGGCCCACAAACACAGAGCGCAGGGGTCTGTCCGATATCAGTTTCCGGATACGAAGGTCAGGAAGGTGTCGTCAAGGTCATGAAGGGTACGAGGACGCTACAACCAGATAAACCTTAAACCCGCAACCGCAAATGGCCTTCATGACCTTCCCGTCCTTCGCCAAACATTTGTGAAAGCGCAGGGGGAGCATTTCCTCGTTTCTCCATACATGCAGTCAAAGGCAAATTTCGAGCCCGATATTACATAATGAACACTAGTTCTCAATCAAATTTCGTTGTTGCCGGAACACTTTGAGCATCAATTTGGCATGCGGCCGCCCTGCTGCCTTGCCCATCGCGGCCAACGCGATTCGACGTGCGCCACACCTGCCAGCAGTCCCTCAAGCTCAGGGCCTTAAGGCCCCGGGCCCCGGGGACCAACACCCCCAGCCCCCTGTCCGTGATCCTCTTGCATCCATGCAGCTCCAGCCGCTCCAGCCGGGCCAGCTTCCCCACGGCTTCCAGGTCCGCGTCCGCGATGCCGCAGTCGACGAACGACACGTGGGTCAGTCCGGTCAATTTGGTCAGCGCAATGAGGGCGAAGTCAACGGAGGGGCTGAACCGCGTGGCGGCCTCGGTGGCCCAGCGAGCCCAGTGCCGGTTCACGAGGCGGCACGCGCGCATCTCGTGCGTCGTTTCGGCGGCGCCGTCCAGGGCTTCCTTCACCCCGTACAGGACGTCGACGGGCAGGTGGCCCCAATCTGGAAATGGCTCCTGCGGTCGACGCCACCCGTTTGACCACACAGTTTTCGATTACCATAATAGAGAATTCATTTCCTTGCGGATACATTCATTCAATCATTTCCAACTGTTTGTTGCATGTTCGTTTGCTCGCTTGTGCGTTCATTTGCCTGATTCTTCATGCATCCTTAACACATTTGTTTAAGCAAAATTAACACATGTTCGAAACACGCCAGGCGCGGTGTAGCAATTTATAGCACAAATTGAATATTTCAATGCGCGATAGTACTCAAAATGCTGAAAATATGCATAATCTGTTGTTTGGGTCGACATGGTCGACCACAAAGGGAGCTGTGCACATCACCGGATTTGGCAAACATTCTGCCACGCATTAATGTACCGAATGGCGCGCCAATGCAAAGCACATTACAACTTCAAAATGCGCCCAAAATCTAAATGGCAAAGTCGTAGACTGCTGCCTACGACATCCGCGGTACAAGGGTAGGATCGCACAATGCAGTCGTTGGACTGAGTTGAATACATTTATCCATGGTTATGTAAGTCACAAATATTCGACGATCAATCAGCGGTCTTATCATACAAGTGTGCTTCTGGTCCACTAAACTGGCATCACACTCGGTCGCATCTTCTCCCAACTTAGTTTTCATTATGCACAACACTTTTGTCACATATCACCAATTTTTACCCTGTTCACTCTCTGCAGCAGTATCGATTTGTAATCGGCGCCGACGACTGGGAGTGCAGGTTCCCTGCCAACTTTCTGTTCTGGTGGTGCGCACTTGGTCGTTTTGGATCGACGGGCAACGAGCCTGTCTGCAGCGGAAGCACCGTCACTCTGTCAGCGCGCAGTGAATGACAGCCTCAGGGCATTGATGCAGCATCAACCCGCATTCATTGGTGCTGCCACCTCACCAGAACATCCACGCTATAAAGCGATGTTTCGAAGCAACACTTGGGTCCTTTGTCCTCCTTGGAGTGTTTTTTCCGTTCAGACATTTGTTCCACTCCTGTACTGGTGGAAAATAACACCAAGAGCATGACCGAAAGTACACAGTTTCAACACAGCATTCGCAGCTTCTAGCACTAACACATCTTTCAGATTTTCAGATGATTTTATATACATGCTTGATGGTCTATGCATATTACATTAATGGAATTAATGGAAGCTCAAGAGCTTGTGGAACGCTCTATGAATTAGCGTTTGATTTTGGTATGCTTACCCCTTACGGAACAGCTGGTACTGGAGGGTGCTGGGGTGAGGTTGTGTTTGAGGCCATGGAAGCTAAGAGATTGATTAAATGCACCAAAGCCAAGTGGCTATGAAGAGGACGAAATTACTTTTGGCACAAGCGAAAGGTCTTGCACACTTGGCCTTTTTAAGTGAGGTCGTCTCCACGTCAGACGTGGTGGCTTTGGGTTGTTACTGTGTCTGGGGCGCAAGTCAGGGGACAGACACCAAACAGGACAGGCAGCCTATTGGCGATTTGGGGGATTGCTTGTTGAGGTGCTGTGACGTGAGGTTGATGATGTTCAATGCTCCTAGCGCCTGGCGAATTTTGGTCCATTGATGGATGGACGAGATAAAAAAGGTGGATGGAAGATGGGGCGGCAAAGGGTCTGGGGTTCAGCCAGCAGCTGATGAGGCCCCTAAGGGCTGAATTGAAACATGCCTCAAAGCCACGTGGGCTGAGTCGACTCTGGACCAACTGTGACAGCACGCAAGGGCAGGCGAACATTGCTCAAGGTCGGTTCTCTCCATCAAAAGATGCACACGTTTCCGCCTGAAGCGGTTGCGCCAGGCGTGCCTGGCACGACTGTGAACGATACGCTGATCAGACGCCTTTCGGCGTGAGCTACATCCCGCCTCTCTTTCAGCGGGAGTCATACCCACTTCCATCCCCCTTACTCCTCCCGGGCACCTTGTGCACCGGCGCAGTGCCGCAGTGTTGCTACACATTGCGACGTCCAAAACACGACGCCTTCAGATGATCAGAGCCCAGCAGAGAAACATTCCGTGCTCATTGCATAGCTTCCGCGTTGCCGCAATTGCTGCATCTATCTCTCCCTCCCTCCCCCTGCTCACCTGCTCCGGGCTTGTGCTCCCTGGGCCCATCGCGACGTCCCCTCCTCGGCGGCATCGCCCTGCGTCCCGCCGCGGCAAAACACCCCTCAGCAATGCAAATCTCCCCCACCGCGGGCTCTCAAAGCCGCCAGTCGTGCCAAAAAGTTTCTCGATCCACGCCAAAGGCGCCCGTCGGACAACTCCAGCCCACGTGGCGCGGCATCCACGTCGGCGCAATCAATCCCGCACCGTCGATACCGCCGCGCGCAGGGCCACGAATCGCCGCGCCGCCAATCTGGGCGCCGCCTCGCTCCGCGCGACGCCGCCGAGCCGCGAACCAGGCCGCGGCATACCGCGGATCCCGCTGCCACACGAACGCCCCGCGTCATGTCGAGCGGCGCGGCAAAAAGCGCCCAGCCGAACGATCGACGCCCAAGGCTGTGGCTCCCCAATCGCATGGCATGGCTCCGCCCTCCCGAAACATGATTAACCTCCCGCCTGGGCAGTCATCCGCCCGGCCGGTTCCCGCCGATCCCGCTGCCCGCTAAGAAGTCCACGTGCTGTCCAACGGCGCGAAAAGTAGCAGCCCACCAAATGATCGACGCCTGAGAACGCGGCCCCACAATCGCATGGCGTGCCTCTGCCCTGTCAAAAGATGATCCCAATCCCCCCGCTGGGAAGTAGTCCGCCCGGTCGGCTCCAAAGAGGGGACGCAGAATTCAAGGCCCGCGGTGCCTGGACGCCCGGCGGGATCCCTTTCCGCCCCTGAGGCCGATGCCGCGATTAGGATGCTCACCTGAGCCGGGGGTTGAGCGTGGAAGCGGGCACGACGGGAGGCTGCCGGCGCCGGCGGTGGCTCGTCGGTGCCGCTGGCAACGGGTCCGCGCCTCTTGCAGCGGACGCGCTGGCGGTGGCGGAGGCGAGCGTTTGCGGTGATGGGGGTGGCGACGCTGGGCAATCATGTATGGCGGATGTACGGCTGGGTTGGATGCACCACCGGAAGGGTCTGCCCCCTGGTGGGTGGTGGGCAAAAAGCTGAGCGAAAGTAAGCAGCACAACAACGATGCTTCTTGTTTTCCTTTTAAACAGCAGAACAACAAAGTTTCCTTGCTTGCTTTAGATAGCAGAGCAAGGAAGTTTCCTTGCTTGCTTCTAAACAGCCAAGCAAAGAAATTCCCTTTGCTGTTTAGAGCAAGCAAGGAAGTTTCCTTGCTTCGCTTCTCTGTTTCCTTCTGTTTCGTTCGCTTTACAAAGCGAGGTGTCGGCCATTTTTTGGCTGCCGTTTTGTGCCTTGTTCCATCGCTTTTGCCGTTTTCAGCATTGGCAGCAAATGGTACCCCGCCTGAAGGGATGGCGGTGGCGATCTTGCTTCCTTGGACTGCAGTTTGCCAGCAATGATTTTGTCACGAGCTGTTGACAGATTGTTGTCCTGATTCCAAGCGATTGCGCCTTTAAAGATGACGACGGTGCAGAAACTGTGCGTGGGAGACGCGTGCAGGGGGGCGGGTGGTGGGCTGCTGTGGGCGGGCGCCTGCTTGGGCTCTGTGTTGCAAACACATGTGACCGAAAGCCGCGGGTGTCGCCTTCTCGCTGGTGTTGGAGCGTGGGAGGTCAGTTTAACCGAACGCCTGTCCCAGGGGATGGATGGGTGCGGGCCAGATGAGAATGTTTCCAAATGCGTATAGTTCTGTCAGATGGAGTAAAATGAACAAACAGACAAACATCGAAATTTTCTTCCCAAACCCGGGTGGGGTGGGGGTGGGGGGCGGCAGCGAACAGTCTGAAATTCGGAACGTCTGCTCTAGGGGGACTGTGAGTCGATATTCCGTTTGTCACACGCCTCAAAACTTAACACGACGGCAAGTCAAAACAACAGGTCGGTTGTCCTGCTGGTTGGGTGTTGACACGTGGGACAAAAGGAAAAGAGAATATATTACTCCCCGTTCTTGTTTGCTGAATTGCGGTTCTTGTTCCGCTGACAAGGCCAGTCCCGGTGCGTGGATCAGTAGTTGGGGTTTAGGGTGTCCGAAAACAAGAACCAAAATTCAGCAAACAAGAACGGGGAGTAATTTTATGCCAAAGGAAAATCGGCTCAACCGCAGTCCCCGTCGGCGCCACCTCCAGATCACGTGCTCCACGCGCAATCCACCCAGCTCTCCCGTCTACGCCCCGTCTACGACAACTCCCACTGAGCCCAAATTCCCCACCCCCCACGACTCTCGACACTGCCCAGGGTCGTCGCTTCTGGCCCCCTCCCCTCGCTTCTGCCCGCGTCCCGTCTCCACACACACACCCCACTCCGCCGTCTTCAAAGCCTCCCTGGACCAGGGATATCGTCTCCAGCCCAGTGGCCGCGTCCTTGGGCAGAAAAGCGCTGGGCGCATCTTCTGCAAGTCTCCGGCGCGATCGATCGACGGAGGTGGGCAGGGGTGCGACTTACGTGGGGGAAGGGCGGAGGGCGCGGGAACCGCTGTTCGCGATCTCGCGGCGCAGCGATGTTGTGGAGACTTCTGTGAGACGGCGGGGAAGGGAGGTGGGGTGGGGAGAAAGTTAACGGAAAGGGAGCGGACCTGTTGAGGCTGTGAGCCGAATCGGTATGGGGCAATCGGGCGAGGATCGGCGCTGCGGAACGACGGGCGTGAATTGATTCGGAAGGGCTGCGGGGGTGGGGATTTGTTCTCAACGCGCCGGCCGCGTGTGCAACGCCGATCTGTTGTCGGTCTTGGATGCCATCCGGGGTGGCCGAAAATGGGAAAGCAAGGGGAAGGGGGGGACGGGCGGGATGGCCTCGGGGCGGGGTGTGGGGACGTTTGGGTGGGCGGGCCGCCTCTGGTGCCTTCGGCTGGGTTGCGATGCCGATTTGATGCTGATTCTCGGCGGTGCTGGCCTTGTTCCTCGTTGCCGTACGCGGAGGAGAAACGAGGAGGGGGGGGAGGTAATTGGCGGAATGTGGGCGATCCATCGCCGCGTGAGGGTGGGACGGTCACGAGTCGCGGCCCCGACCGATAGCGCGGCTGCGATCAACGACCTGGGGCCGGGTCGAAAGAGCGCGGCGCGGAGATTTGTCCGACGAGAAACGAGGGTGCAGGACAAAGAGGGTTGGGTTGCGAAGGCGGGGTGAACCGCAGGCTGTTGGATGTCCCTCAATCGCCGTCGGAGCCATGTGGGGGCTTGCGGCGGAGGGATCTTGCCATCTCGATCGATTTTGCGGAACTTGCGCGGCCGGGTGCCGGGGGAGTTTACAGAAACTGATTGCGGCATCGCGTCCGACAATGGCCCCTGCTACGGCCCGCTTATTGTCGCCTCGCCCCCTCGTCGATGGCGGCCGGCCCCTGCGGGAAGTCGTGAAGCGCGCCGTCCCTCCGTTGAAGAGTGGATCTGTGCCGGGTGGGCTTGGATGTTTTGAAGTGCGTTTGGCTTTCAACAAGTCTGTCATTTCGAGAAACTGCGCTCCAAGCGCGGCATCGGATTGACGCGAAGGGTAATAGGTCCGCCTGGCGCTCTGTTCTGAAATTCTCTGGCATGTTCTGCGCTCGAGTGCTGCATGCTGTGCAACACAAGGGAATCAGTTTGGCTGGTGCGTTGGACATACAACGTTGTGGTGCTTCATCCAGCAAAACATGCGCCAATCTTGTCTCTCACAGTGGTAAATTGATCGTCCAGTTCTTCATCGACCGCTGTACACGTGATTCCCGACATCGCCAGCTTGGTGACAGGGCTTGCTTTGCCATGATTTTGGCAAATGTATTTGCAACGGATTTCCAGCACATGTGATCCGCAGTCACGGTATTGGGTGTTCAGCAGTCCATTCAGTCCAATGATTGGACTAAGATTGGACTCCAATCTCAACCAATGATACACCGTGCATGGTCCCAGTATGCACCACAACACTGCGTCAATAATTGCCATTAGGCCATCTGATCAATCCGGCCTCTTTTGTTAGGGGGGCTGCTTGAACAGCAAAAGCAGCCTGCTCCTGGAGGGAAGGCGAGGTTTGTCCAGAGCTGGTCAACAATTTAATGTTCAGCCAGTTCTTTATTCAGAAGCATGGCAACAGCTGCCAATGCTGATCACTGATACTAACTGTTACCTGTGTTTTAGCACAGTTCAACAGTGCAGCATTCAGTTAGCTTTAAAGTATGTTGGTAACAAACCTGTCTGTCATTTGTGCTTGTTGCAAATGGTCATAGCCACTGTAGTAAATTTTGGTAGCCCAATGGTGATCATGGCCTGCCAGAGTATGTACAAGATATGTGGCAAATGCCAGAAACATGATGTCCATAATCAAAATATCAACGGCCTAGCTTTTGCCTGAAGCCCACTGCCCAAACAGGAAAATGCATGCCACCCATATCTCAATGCGTTGGAGGGTCAGAAATATGCATCAGACATGACTATCAGGCCTGTCCGAAACAGCTTTGTTCCTGATATTTTGCCAAGCTTGAGGCTGCTTTCTAATAGATTTGAGCATTCTGCGTTGTACGAATACTTACATGCAGTATGCAACTAGTGATTGCGTGATCGACTGGCGCTGGTCGTGTCATGGCAAGGCTGTCGATTGACGTAGTTTGTGAAACTTTGGCTCAGCATTTCTCTGTATTGCTTGTCAGGCAAGGGTCATGTATGCAATCTTCAGCCTTGCCCTACAGACGGTGCTGGGCCTCTTTGGTGGTCGCAATGGTGCCAACTTTGGCGAAGATGCAGAGCTGGAAGCACTACTCAAGGTGGTGGCAGATGAGCTGCAGAGGCGAGAGGAGGCACTGGCGGCACTTGGGGAAGCCGACCTCAAAGCTGCGATGAGATTTCTTAAGCTGGCCTTCCTGGGGGTTGCGTCGCAGAAGGGCAGCCAGGAGAGCGGTGACAACTACAAGACAGCAGAAGAGTCGGCTGTGAAAGCATTCTCAATCGTAACGACCACAGCACAGGTGGGTTAAGTTTTGATTGGGAGGAATCCGATGGAAATTTGGCCAATGTTTATCTGAAGACTTTGCAAGACAAATCCTGATGAGCTTACCATTTGGGTTGTCAAGATGACTACAGAATGCATGTGTGCTGACAATTGCACAAATCTGAGTTTAGC